GCAAATAAATATATGGAAGAATATTTAACATCATTAGTTATTCCAGCAATGTACATTAAAATAACACTGAGATTCTATCTCATTCCAGAATGAATGGCTATAATCAAGAAATCAAGCAATAGCAAATTCTGGCAAGGCTGTGAGGAAAAAGGAACTTCTTTCCATTGTTAGTGGGAGTGTAAATTGGTACAACCACTGTGAAATCAGTATGGAGATTTCTCAAAAAACTAAAACTAAAACTAGAAGTTCCATTTTACCCAGCTATTCCCCTTCTAGGTCTCTTCATGAAAGAATTAAAAGCATTATACCACAGTGATATATGCATACCCATGTTTATAGCAGCACAATTCATAATAGCTAAATCTTGGATATAGCCCATATGCTTATCAACAGATGAATGAATTTAAAAGTATGGAATCTATATATGATGGAGTACTACTCTACCATAAAGAAGGATAAATGAGTAATTTTTGGGTATATGGATGCATCTTGAGGACATTATATTAAGTGAAATAAATCAGATACATAATTTTAAATATTGCATTGTTTCTCTTTTGTGAGAAACCAAAAGGGTAAATAAGGAGCAAAATGGAGGATAGATATTTACAAGTAGGAAGAATGTGTTTAAATGGGAAGGAGAACAAGGGAGGAGGGAAGAGGAAAGGGAAGGAATGGAATAGGTACTTTAAAAAAAGAGAATGTGAGGGGAAAATGGAAACAAAGCTTTTGTAGATGAGAAGAGAAGAAGGGTTGAATAGAGGAGAGGGAAATGGGGGAAAAAGAATTAAGACATATGATATTCAGGTACAAATTCCTTCTGATGAATATGACCATTATGGATGGCAAATATGTACAAATAAAAAATTAAGAAACAGAAACAGCATATGAATGTAATCTGTAATATATGGTTCTTACTAATTCAGAATCTTTGTTTAAGCAAAGCAGTTTATATAGATTACAGGGGAAATCCTTATAGAGGAAATCCAATTATTTTATCTTTTAATAAAATTCCACTAAAAATGAAAAAAGAGTGGTTAATCAGTATATGAACTGTTCAAAGTTATAAAAAAATAGAAGTGGAACTTAAATATAAAGCCATTCTCACTTATCACATTGGTTAAAAATTATATATGTAAAAATAAGTATATACGTATATGTATATATTTTAATGCAGTTCATTATTGGCCAAAACTTGCTGAAATGGCATAGTCACAAAAATAATTTGGCAACATAATCCTTCATGAATATAGATGCAAAAATCCTTAATAAGTTACTAGCAAACAGAATACAGAGGGTCATCAAGAAGATCATACATCCTGACCAAGTCAGATTTATTCCAGGGATGCAAGGATGGTTCAACATATGTAAGTCGATAAATGAAATACACTATATTAACAGAGTCAAGGACAAAAACCATATGATCATCTCAATAGATGCAGAAAAAACATTTGACAAAGTTCAACACACATTCATGATAAAAACCCTTCAAAAAATTGGAATAGGTGGTCTATATCTCAACTTAATAAAGGCTATCTATGAAAAACCAACAGCTGACATCATATTAAATGGCCAAAAACTGAAAACCTTCATGTTAAAATCAGGAATAAGACAAGAAGGACCACTATCACCACTTCTGTTCAATATAGTTCTGTAGACATTAGCCACAGCAATTAGACAAGAGAAAGAAATTAAAGCAATAAAGATAGAAAAGGGAGAATTTAAACTGCCATTATTTGCTGATGATATGATACTCTACATTGAAGACCCAAGAAATTCCACCAAATGACTTCTAGACTTAATTGACACTTTTAGCAGAGTAGCTGGACATAAGGTCAACACTCAAAAAGTCAATAGCCTTCTTGTACACAAATAACAGACTCACTGAGAGAGAAATTAGGGAAATAATTCCTTTCACAATAGCATCCCTAAAAATGAAGTCTCTAGGAATCAATCTAATGAAACAAGCAAAAGACCACTACACTGAAAACTACAGCACTTTGAAAAAAGAGATTGAAGAGGATACAAGAAAATGGAAAGATATACCTTGCTCCTGGGTAGGAAGAATCAACATAGTGAATATGGCCATACTACCAAAACTGCTATACAGATTCAATGCAATACCCTTTGAAATTCCAACAGTTTATTTCACAGAACGAGAAAAAAAGAATCCAAAAATTCATTTGGAGCTATAAGAGACCTAGAACAGCAAAAGCCATCCTAGGCAACAGACACATGGCAGCAGGTAAAATAATTTTCAATTTAAAACTATAGTACAAAGCCACTGTGATAAAAACAGCATGGTACCATCAGAGAAACAGCCTGAGGATTAGTGGAATAGATTGGAAGATACAGAAACAACTCCAGATGTACTTAGGTACCTCATCTTTGACAAAGGAAATAAATTGTTTTGGAAAAACTAGATTTCAACCTGCCAAAGATTAAAATTAGACCCTTATCTTTCAGTATGCACTAAATTAAGATCCAAGTGGATGAAAGATCTAAATATTAAAACAGAAACACTAAACTTGCTGAAAGATAAGTTAGGCAGAACTCTTGAAGACATTGGCATAGGAAAAGACTTTATGAACAAATCCTCAGTAGCACAGTAACTAGCAGAATCAACAACTGGGATCTCATCTTATTAAAAAGCTTCTACACTGCAAAAGAAACCATCACCTGAACTAAAAGACAACCTACAATGTGGAAAAAAACTTTTACCAGCTGCTCCTCAAAGCACTATTATCTAGAATATATAAAGAACTAAAAAAAATCAGCCCCCCAAATATAAAGACCTGATTCAAAAATGGGCATCTGAAATGAACAGACATTTCTCAGACAAAGAAGTAAAAGCATCAAGTAAATATATGAAAAAATGTTCCACATCACTGTTCATTCAAGAGATGCAAGTGAAAACAACGCTGAAATTCCACTTCACCCCACAAAGAATTGCTATCAAGAAAACAACCAATAACAAATTTTGGCAGGGTTGTGGGGAGAAAGGAACTCTTCTTCTCCATTGTCTGTAGGAGTGCAGGCTGGTGCAACTGCTATGGAAATCAATATAGAGTTACCTCAAAGAGCTGGGACTAGAGGTTCCGTTTGACACAGCCATCCCTCTGCTGGGTACCTTTCCAAAAACAATTAAAAGAACATATCACAGTGATAAATGTGAACCACTGTTTATAACGGCACATTTTGTAATAGCTAAAATTTGGAAACAGCCCATTTGCCCATCAGTTGGAGACTGGATAAGAAGATGTGGTTTTTCTATAAAATGGAATACTACTCAGCCATAAAGAAAGAGAAATTAGAGTCATTCATAGGCAAATGGATGAATATTGAGGATATACTCTTAAGTGAAATAAATAAGTCACACATGTAAATACCAAATAGTTTCTCTGGTTTGAATAAGTATAATTATACATAAGATCCTAATGGTATAACTGACAATGTGAAATAGGAAGAAAAGGGCTAAACGTGTAGGGGAAGTGGGAAAAGTAGGGGAAAGGTAATAAGGGAAAAGAAAAAATATGAGAAAATAAAAAAATGGAAATAAAGTATTTGTAAATAGGGAAGGGAGGAGGGGTTGAAGGGAGGGCAGGGGCAAGGGGAAAAATAAGAATAATAATAGTCCTTTGAGGAGCAGCTGGTAAAAATTTTTACATGATGTCTTGTAGTTCGCTGGATGTCAGCTGGGGCAACAGGACTGGACATAGCCACATATCTCTCATTATCCCACATTAATCCAGGCATTTTCACACAGTGGTGATTAGCTTTCCCAAGATCAGATAGAAAACATGCTTTAATGCATCAGCACTCTCAAGCCTCTTCTTGCCTTTTGGTCTCTACTGTCTCACTGACTAAAGCAAGAGACATGGCCAAGCCTAACTTCCGGAGGTAGAGAAATAAATCCCACCTCTTACTGGGAGGAGCTGTAAATCACATCACAAAACAGTGCACATGTAAAGGAGAGAGAATTTATTGCCACTTTTTGTAATCTACTAAAATGTATAATAGTGACAGTTATTGGAATTGTGGAAGACATTTCTAGATATACTAAAAACATTTCAGATTGAAATATATTTTGTAGCACTGACACATTATATTAAGTATATTTAATTATATTGATATGTTTTTATTTAAAAGTAGAATGTGTATCCATAGTGTGCTCTAAAAGGAGAAAAAGGCATAACCTATTTACTGGGCAACTTCTACTAGCTGAGGCAATTCTCTGGCATAGAGAACAAGCGTGAGTCACTGGCATGTGATAAAGAGGATCTGTGTGAGACATCAGTAGAGATCACCGTAAAAGTGATCCTCTCAAGGCATGTTGTCCTGTCTAGGAGCATCAGCATGGTAGCTTACAACAACAAAATAACTTTTAAAATGGCACCCTGAATTATTAAATTCTATTTTTTCTATGTGTCAAAAGCATAGCAAACTAAAGATGAAAAATCAAACATTACTAAGCAAGATAAAATTTAATAGTCATTAAGATAATGCACTATGACACCAAAACACATCTAACAATATTTATTGAGCACTTATGATGTGTTTGGTTCCATACTCATGACATTGTGATAAGCAAAACAGACATATCACTACTCTCACAGAGGAGCCTAAAAATACAGTGGCTTAATTAAATATTGTACACTTAAATACAGTACACATACAGATTTTGCATAATTTTTAGATTTTTTTTATCCAACATGCTACGTTTTCAGTATTGTATAAGAAAATTCTCTTTTTAGTTTTCATCTCCTATATGAAGGATGTTCCTGTGGGTTTGCAGGATGGGGTAATGATATAACTGGGAAAAAAGCTGTGGTTAAACATGGAAGAATATATGTATTTAAATTCTAGAGCAATATTGGTCTTCAATTTAAAGTTACTTAATTTGAGATTTTGTTTCTCTATCTCTAAAGGAAATGTCAGTAAACATATCTATTGTGTAGGTTAATGTTTGGTAATCAAATGATGCTTGTTTTTTCTCTTTTCAGAAACTATAAACAAGTGGTGGTGAAGAGGAGTTGCATGACAGTTCTTCCAGAGGATGGAAAGCACACCAGAAGTCTCCGAGGCAAAGTGTAGAACAAGCTTTATTCTTAGCACCAGTAGGTCGGCTGGATTCACACACCAAGAGATTGATCCCCTTCTTTGGGATTAAGCAGGACAGGTTATACCATCACGAGAGAGAGGGCTTGCAGGAGTTACAAAGAGTGCAAGTCATGTGGGCTCAGGAAATTCATTGGTTATCAGGCATTACAGATAGCAAGCTCAGCGCACACAGTTACACCTCATTTACATTTTGGGAGGGGTAACAAAACTATTTGAGAGCCAAGAAATTTTCTGAGATGCTTTAGAGGAAGTGCCAGGCTAGGTAAGTCCCAATGTGTTGAGGGAATGGGGAAAAACTTCTCCGTTAGTAAGTTTGGCTTTAACCGCTGAGAGGCACGTTACCTGTTCATAGCTGACCTATGGCGCACTTGCCACAGCGGGCTATTTGTTATCATTAAAACTCTGAAAGGTTTGCCATCTCTCCAAAGCTAAACATGGACTTTGGAAAGAGAGAAAAAGAAAACAGAGAGCTTGTTTCCAACTACTTTATAATTATCTGGGAATGAAAAACTGAATCTGTATAATTTTTGTCCTGAACATTAGTATCACTACACATTTTGGACCTTGTGCAAAAATTTTGGAATGCAAGACTTAGTAAATTAAAAAATATTAATCACTTTTTATTTCTCCTATCAAAGGAGGTCAATTCTTTCTGAGGGAAAGGAGTTCATTAATAGAGATTTTCTTGTTCTCTGACTAAATTTTTTCTCTCTGTTCTTTTCACAATTCTCTTGTAGATGGAAAAAAAAATGGCTCACCTGACTAATGGCTTTTGTGGAAAAGAACTAATCATCACCTACTTAGTTCACCCAAATTAGAGAATTCAATTACAAAGGGTAAAACAAAATTGCAAAATTTTAAGAACCTTATACTTGTATCAGTGTTAGACAAAAGTATGAGAAGATTCTGTTTGTCTTTGGTGTTCCTGACCTCTTTTTAACTTTTTTTTTTTTTTTTTGTACCAAGGATCAAACTCAGGCCCTTGAGCTTGTGAGACAGGCAGCACCACCCCTGAGCTAAATCCCAGTCCCCCTGACCTCTCTTTTATCTGTGCTTTTCCCATCATCTTGTGTACACAGGGCTTTCAAATGCATTTCACTCTCTGTTTTAGAGAAGGTCTCTTAAATTAACTCTAATGTATACATATGTCACCTCCCTCAAGGGTATGAACTTGTTGACAATGTCTAAAGAGCAAAGGCATAGCACCATGGAAATTGTCAATTTAAATAACTCATGAATCTGTATAGTTTTTAAAGTCCAATTTTTCTTTTTGAGAAATAGTATTTCAATTTCCTTTCATGAAATTACCATTTCACCATGCCATGCACACTTGATGAGACCATAAATCCTAGTATCTGCCTCCACTGGTCTTGGAGTAAACAGATGACTCAGGGTAGGTCAATCTGACATTTTGATTTTTTGACTCTTTAAGGCATTGATGCAAGGACAAAGGTAAAACAGTTGTCTCCTTATGTTCCACAACGGCTGTCTGTTAAAACTTTGAATAGTTCTTAGCAAAATCATCTCATTTTTATTTTGTCTGATCATGGCTTTGCTTTACTTCTTTCTATGGGCACCCAGTGATCTTCCATCACATTCCTTTTTGCTTAGATTAGCCAGGACAGATTTTGTTGCTTATAAATCTCATGTCAGATTCAAAGTATTCGGAGATGTGATGGCTTCCTGACATACTTTACCATTTTTGGTTCTAATATATGTGTATATATATATATATATATATATATATATATATAGCTTTCCTTAGAAGACTGTAATAATTCACATATGCTTATTCCTAGAGGAATGAGTTGAGGGCTAATGCACTTTCTCATTAACTATGACTTTTAATTTGGTCTCCATAGCATGTCTTCAGCCTCTAGACCCTGGGGTCCATTTAAGGTCATTTAGGCAGAGGCCACATCTGTAGTATCTAACTTATTGGCTAAGCAGCCTGTACTCTTTGGATATTTGCCAACCATATGCCAGATCAGGGCCTGTCAGGATGGCCTCATTTTGGAAGGCTAAATAGGAAGAGAAATTAGATCTGAGAAAAGAAAACATGGGTAAAGAGCTCAAGGAACTGGCACAGCTGGGTATCATTAGCAATAATCAAACCTTACCCAGTATAACAAGCAACAGGAAGTGAGATGGGGGCAGTGTGTACATGTGTGTGTATATAAGTTTGTGTATCTATCTACCTTTGTATATATGTATCTGTGTAAGAAAGTAAATGTATAAAAACTTTTAAAATCTTATTTGCTTTAACTACTTCCACCCCTGTGTCCCAGTGGGAGTGTTTGATGTATAGAAATCATATTAGAATTTCACAGCCTTTCAGGCAGCACTTTGATGCTACAGACTCAGAAGAAGGCTAAGTAATTACATTTTTAACAGAGGGGGAGAGCAAATATAAACAGCTGCCAAGAATTTAAGAAATTACATGAAACATTCCATGAAATCATATCCATGAAAGTCGTATCTGTTTCCCTCCAGTTATTATATATTTTATATGATATTTTCTGATTATAAAGCAATACTTTTATTTCAGAAAAGAGAAAGTTGGAAACTATATGAAAATGACATAAACTATATAGTTATCTCTTAGTATCCACAGGTTTCAGGAATCCTAATGCCTACCAAAATTTGAGGCTCTGTAAATGCCTTATATAAAATGACATAGGGGCCATTGCTCAAGCATCGGGAGGTAACCTGGGCCCCAATCCCCCGTGGGAAGGAGAGCCATGTCTGCTCCAGACCCAGCCACCATCGCTCAAGTGCCAGGAAGGTAGCCGTGCGGGCACCCCTGAACCCCCATAAGTCCCCCACACACACTCTCAGACCTCCTGACTGTGTCAGTCTTTGGACCCACTCTGCAGAAGCAGAGGTGGTCATCAAGGGTATTTTTCTGAGTTCCCAACTTTGAACATCTTTAACAAAAGGGTGTGGGAAACCTGTAATAGAACGTTGTGGAGTTCCACCATTCAGAAGGTTGGGGAGCTCAATTGGACCTTGCAGCCCGAGGTCAGTCAGCGTCATGGGGTTCAGCCATCAGCTAACTGAGATCAGGGGTCTTGAGTCCTAGCACTGTCTGAGCCCCCATCCTAAATGGTAAATATACTACATTGAAAAGTTTGTTTACTGCAGACATGTTTTGGACTGCTTTTTTATTTCAATTTAATTCAAATGGTTTAAGGGTGATAGACTAGAGATTACGACAGGTGGTCAGTTTCCAAGTTGTGCTTGATCATATTGTATTGCTGGTTGGGATAAAGGATTGTGGTTGAATCAATAAGGTGTTTTTTCTGATGTTATGGAGATGAGAATGTCTGTGGGTCATTAGAGACACAGAAGCTAGGGCGCAAGTATATCAGGAAGATTTGGGTGATAACCCAGAGATAAAATCAAGGACAGTCCAACAACAAAAATAAAAATGAGAAAACACTTAAGCAAGACACAAGGACAGACTTCTAGTTCACCAATGGCAAAAAGTAGGGCAAATGAAGATGAAAAGGCCGATAGTGAACTACCAGGACACCCTGAACTCAAAGCACAGGAAGTAACAAAACAGATCAATCAGGCTCTAGAAAAATTCAAAACAGAACTAATTTCCCAGATAACCATAGAAATGGTGAGCAAAATGGAAGTCGTGATTCGAGACTCTAGAGCTGAAACTGACAAAAAAAATAGATGAGCTCAGGACCATGGTAGAAGCCATGAAGGCCCAGCATAAGAAAGAAATGGAAAAAATAAACACCAAGCATAGGAAAGCAATGGAACCCATAAAACAAATTCAAACAGATATCCAGGAGATTAAACACTCTATTGAGAGTGTACACAACAAAATAAAAGAATGCAAAGATAGAATCTCAGATATAGAAGATAAGATTGCAGTCAGTGACCATGAAAAGAGAGGGCTCTTAAAAACAGTAAGGGATCATGAGAAATCAATCCAACAATTCCTAGATGATGCAAAGAAGAATAACATAAGACTGATAGGAGTCCATGAAGCAGCAGGAGAAAATACAAATGACTTTAAAAAGCTGTTTGCAGAATTAATGACAGAAAACTTCGCAAACAGAGGGGAAGAATTTGACATTCAGATAACTGAGGCATATAGGACACCAACTAGCTACAATCAAAAAAAAATCTACACCTAGACATATAATAATCAAGATCCCAGAAACCCAACAGAAGAACAAAATACTACAAGCAGTAAGATAAAAGAAACACATCACATATAAAGGAAAGCCCATCAGAATCACAGCAGACTTTTCAACACAAACCCTTGGGGCAAGGAGAGCCTGGAATGAGATATTTCAAGTACTAAAGAAGAACAACCTCCAACCTAGACTGATTCTATCCTGCAAAACTCTCTTTCAAAATGGATGGGGAAATAAGACACTTCCACAACAAAGAACACCTGAGAAATTACATGAATACCATACCAGCACTACAAGGAATTCTAAACAATATCCTAGAAAAAGACAATGAAGGCAACAACACCATGAGGCCCAACAGAGCAAATCAAATAGGCAAGGCAAGAAATTAAAAGGAGAAGGTGAAAAAGTAAAAAGAGTCAACAAAAGGCCAATAACATATCAATAATAAGTCAGTACATATCAGTTATAACCAGCAATGTCAATGGCCTCAACTCACC